GTGTCATCCAGTTTGTACTGATCTGTTGAACAGCAAATGCGTAATGTAAGGGGCAGTCAGAATATTACGAGACAGGCTTTTAACACCGCAGAAGCCATTTCAGTATTTAACATGCTGAGAAGACAAGCTAATCACGAAAGGCTTGTCTAAATGTCTGTGTTCCTTTGACTCCTTAAGTATTTTGTAGATGCTGACAGCCAGTGTGAACTTTAAATCAATTTATTGCGTATGTTTACATATGCAATAAAACCATTTGCTATATCATCTAACGACACACAGAGTGAATTGTTGACCATGAGCTGATCTGACCTTTTCAGGTCTAATCAAGAAATCTGAAATATTATTTCAGCCTGTCAGCTCCAGTAATATTCAGTAAGAGTATCTGTATCTAACTGAAAATGTCAGACGCGCTCTTAATATGCAACTCATCAAAGTTACGATGCGGATGAACCAAGAACTGGTTAAGAATATAAATCTTTTAACATCTGTGGTGCATCTCAATTGCTTAGATAAGTTGTTCTGCCATTGATACAGGCTAGCTAAAAACATGCATTAAAATAAGCAATTCTTTAGAATACATGTGAGATGTACAGCGCTTAAATATTGAAATGATTGTGAAAGAGAGGCGATAACACCAGTTTATAATATTACTGAAAAAAACAGTGACCAGTGAGAATACCAGTGCACTAGTTAATGTCCTGCTAGCTTCATTGAGTGGTAGTGTAAGATTAGTGGTCTCACATTAACCTCAATATTTTCCTTTTTAATAATTTGCGACTTGTAAGGTTTTTACTCTTTCCAGAGGTAATCGATTATATAAGCTGAGGTGTCCTTATCAATCTGACTTGTGTTGAATTTAGTATTAAACATTTTCCATCGTCTGGTGCTTTTTATGAAAAAGTCTATTTCAATTTTTAAAAGCTTTCTAAAAACCAACACTTATCAGTAGGTTATGTGGTTTAATGTTATTTAATTTCTTTGTTTTCTTTGTCTCATCTTCGAAGTTTCTGTTCTTGGTATTTTACTAGTCAGATCTAGGGTAATTCTGTCTTTTAATAATTATTTATCAAGCATGAGAACAATTATTTGTTAGTGTAATTTCTGGATGATGAATTTAAATTTGGATTAAAGTCGATGGGCCCAATGAAAAGCAACTTTGTATCCTAAGAAAATGGTATTTTATTAGCTAAACAGTCTATCAAGATTGTTTTATCTTAAAGCAATTGTTAATGAAATTGAGTTGGTTTTTAAACTAATCATGGGTAGTTGGTGCAATTTAAGGCGTTATTAACTGAATTGCTGCTATTAGTAAAACGTTGCTGGAACTAGAATTAAAATGAACTATGGGAAGCATTACTGAACTGATAACCTTGCATTAAAGAAGAGCGTGTATTTTAAGCTACCCAGTTAATGCTGTTTGAACTGTTCTTGTGAGGCAATGCTGCCCTCCCCTGGTGTGCTGTGGAAAGTAGAAATTTTTATCCCAGTCCAAGCAAGTTCCAGGGCTTCCTATTAAAAAAGAAACGCTGAATTCGTGAAAACGGTGAAAAAAATGCTCTTAAAAAGACAATTATGTACCTTCTCTTATTACAAGACCAAAAAAAAAGGGGAACAGACGTTTATAGGATGCTTTTATGTATGATGGTGCAGATGTAGATGAACGCGCAAATAACATATAGGAGTATACACAGGACAACAAACTGAGGGTTGAATTAAGTTTGGGTGGCAATTTGGAAGATGAATTGAAGACAAAATAAGCAGATACCAGGTAGCTGCTGAAAGTTAGTGGGACTGATTACAATAAACTCTTGTTTAACAGTATAGTTTTGTCTTTTGTGTAACGTTTAAAGATTTATCATTATAGATTACGTGTTTAGTTCTGCAATAGAAAAGTAAATGGGACCATAACCAACAACTTACATGGGAATAGGATTAGGTCTTGTGCAAATGAAGCTATAGCAAAACTGTCATCTTCTGTCAAAGGCAATTGATAACAAACATACCACCGTAGGCTCAGGAAGTCCCTCCACTGCGCATTCCTGAGAGCTGAGGCAGGTAGTCCAAGGAAATATTATTGTTGCATGGTCTATTCTTAATATATTTCTTCAGACATCTGTTATTAACCACTGCTGGATACAGGATATTGGGATAGAAGGTTCTTTAGATTGTCCATCTGTGGCTGTTGTCTGTTAAGTAAGTGTGTTGCTATTTGCTTTCATTTTGTCTTCCATTTCTCACTGCTGGGCAGTTTCAGCATAGTCCAGACAGCAGAAAGAGATGAGCCTTGTTTCAAATATAAGAATTTTAGTTCCTACTACTGACTCCAGTAAAATGTATGTTGTGGGGTTTGTTTGTTTTTAAGGTATAAAATATCCCTTTCTTTTTATAATTAAGATTTTTCTAATTGCTGGACAACTTCCAAAGCACACAACTTTTCTTTCTGTGACGTGTGACTTGACTTCTGTTTTGTTTGCTCCTCATCCTCCTTAATGCATCGGAGATCATCTAACACTAGAGAAAACTGGAGAGAGCATGTTAAAATCTGTGATTCGTGTATTTCTTCCTGTCTTAAATGGAACAGATTACCAGATTCAGGATCAGGAGAGAGTTTTTTTCCCCAGACTGGTTTGTCTGGGGAGTTTGCTTGAGTGAGAGTTCTTGTCTACTACTTGGGGTCAGGTCATTTGAGGGATATTCTAAGAACTGTGGAATATAATGACATTCCCAACCTGACCTGCTCTGGTCCAGCAGCACGTTATAGTGGTGGTGGCTGTTGATATTTCACTACCTTTTATAATAAGGTCCTAGGAGTTATTTTGTGTCTGTAGTGCCTACAGGTCCACAGAGCAGATGTGGACCATTTTGAACTAGACCCCAACTACTCTGTTACCTGTGACTGTGGCAGATGGGACCTGTAGATCCCAGTGGTCCTTCACAGGCTTCTGTTTCTGAAGTGACTTCTCAGACTGCAAAATGATAGTATTTACCTTCATGTGCATAAGCTAGTAGTCTATAATAAGCAATCCTTTTGAGAGCTAGATGTAAAACCACTGCAGGTATGGCTCCATAATAGTTAAAAGGTGAGCTAAATCAACACCGAGGCTCCTCATTCTGCCTTTCCCTTTGTGACGTCCTGCAACAGCAAAACCAGTTTTATGTTCTTCCCTTTTGTTAGGTTAGTATTCTGTCAGTGTAGCATCCCTCAGCTCATCAAATGGTTATGTGAATGGCAGTGGTGTCGTTCCTTGACCTAGAACAAATGTATGAGGTCTAAGATTGTGTAACAGTTTTCTTTCTTCTCCATAACTTTTGCAGGTATTAGGGCTGCTGGTGTGGACCCTGATTGCTGGAACGGAATACTTTCTATATCCGGCCTTTGGCTGGGTGATGTTTGTAGCTGTGTTTTACTGGGTTCTCACCGTCTTCTTTCTGATCATCTACATGACAATGACCTACACCAGGATCCCCCAGGTGCCATGGACCACGGTGGTAAATACATCCTTTCTTTCTTGTTTTAAGCTTGCTGAGTTAGGAAAAGAATAAAATATTGATGTGTTCTACGGGTATAGTTAAACAACTGTATTTAGGCTTTTTGCGGATTTTTCCCTAATTAGTGTGTGGCTGTGTACCTGCAGTGTTTAACCTTCATACTACCCAGACGCTTTTAAAACGCTTTTCCTATGATGTTTCACCATTTTGTTCAGCAGTTGATGTAGTGACTTGATTTTTAATAATGTGCGTGTGACTGATATTTATGCACAGTAGCCTCTTTCTCCCTGTAGTGGTTACATCCCATGAAGAATGAGTCAGTTGCTGCCTCTGAGCTAACAGACCTGGCCATATGGCTTAAACAGCAGAAATCCCTGCTGGAATCAACACCATGAATTGGAAGTGAGACCTTGGCTCTTAAAACATGAGTCTTCCTCTGTTAAAGTAAAAGCAAAGGTGGTTCAGAGGTAGCAACAGTCTGACAATCCACATATGGCCTGCTGTGAAAATGATGCTGAAAATTAGTGTAATATATATGTAAAATACATGCCGTATAATCCTTTGCTTTTAGCTCAAGACTTCATGAAAATCAGATAAATAGCTAATGCAATTACAGAAAAAATTTACAGGCGCTTAAAATTCAGATCCAGTTTTTGTGGTTTGAACAAACCTGACTAGCTGCACCTCTCAACAATGTATCTTTACATGATTTTCATAACAGGCTGGTGTTCAGGGTAATAGATCCTAAAAGTCATTGTCACTTCAGCCAACTGTATATGACTCATCCAAGAATTTTAGCTTTGCATTTGTCTGATTGTCATGGTTTGATGATACAGTGAGATACTGTTCGTTCTTCTTTTTATTCTCCTAGCTAAAGGTTATTGACTATAATCCTGTTATTTTTATGATTAAAAAAAATTGACTTCTGTGTTGCAAACAGCTTATTATCAGCTATATTGTGTACATGACTAAAATTGGATACTCTTCACCTTCCCATTTGCTGCTGTAATCAATAGCCAGCTATAGCAATTACTAACGAGAACAACAAGGATGATGTTCAGATAGCTTCTCTGTTTTCAAGTTTCCTGACCAGCAATTACCATTAAGGCTATAACACTGCTATAGAAATATTGGATTATTTCAATTACAGCAGTAATGTGTCTGGGTACATTTAAAGGTGTGAAGTTTGTTGGGTTTTTTTTTTGCCATTGCATTAGATGTCAGTAAAGTACGTTCAAAGAGAAGGTGTATCCAAACGGATACAAAGATGCCTTTAGTCATTACCCCTCTTTCATCAGTTTAACGCTACTGTCAGACAACAGCTGCACATGAATGAGTTGTCCCTTATCTATGTGATAGACAAGATGGAGTATTTGATTTGTTTCTACTTCATATTGAGTGTATTTCTTGCTCTGAGTTCCAAACGTATTGTAGATAAGATCACATAAATGTAGGTTCAAAAGGTAATCTCCTTGTATAGGAAAGGGTAATATGAAGAGAAAATAAATGCAAAATAAATAAAAGATGCTTGCATTCCAGCTTGTTTTGCCCTAAGGTATTAAAAGAGCTGTTAAATTGCCAGCCTTTGAATTGGACCTCTGCCACTCCTGGCTGGCTGAGAGCAATGTTGGGTCTCTTTTCAGAGAGGTGTTGTTAATGTCTTCATTCAAGAGAGCATGACACACCTTTTTGAGTGAGTGAGGTTATGCCTGTCTTCCCCCTAGTCTCTGAAATATCCTGAATTTTATTCTTTGCTAGTTACTCCTCTGCCTTCTTGGGCAACATTTAGCTCAAACTGTGCCTATTGTATGCAGTATCCAAAATTACATCTGGACTTCTCTGTCATAAATCCACTTTTTGCAGGTTAAGCACATTACCAAATTGCTTAAGATGCAGTTACTTTTACTGCAAATTAACCCAAAGGACGTGCTTCAAAACTGACTCTCCTTAATAGTGCAAGTTCTTTGCTAAAACAATCAATGGAAGCTTTTAAAATCTGGTAAATTTGAATTTAAGAAGCAGATGGTAATTTAGCATGAACCATTTGGTTTGAGTAATATATTGGCAGTAAAGGCCCAGTCAGCTTGCATTGTATTCCATCTTCCCCAACAGTGTTATTTCCCAGAGCAGCACTTCTCAAAAATTATGTGCTTTTTTCTTTTCTGCATGACAAGATATTGCAGGGATTTGTAGCTTTCCAGGGTAATTGAGTCTTTTTGGAACGGGAAATCTAAAAATAACAACAACAAATACTCTAGGCAATCAAGTGTGGAGTTTGAAAATCAGTGCTTTACAGAAGTTCACCTGAACCTGCCAATTGTTGCCATCTTATCCTGAAATTGACAGTTTGATATTTTATTACTGTAATGCCCAGATAAAACAAGAGAGGTGAGATCTGTGGACAGAGATAATATCTTTATTAGACAGTGAGATAAACCCCACTCATTTATAAGTGTTTGAATCAAACCTCAAGTGCCAGACTTTGGACTCCTGCTGAGTGCTGCAGCGCTGTCCATGGTTCCCTGGGGAAAGGTGGATAAGTGACTCTTTTCCAGATGCCCTGAAGTTGCAAGGACTTAGGAACCACAGGAGGATGTACATGCCTGTCTGCCTGCTCTGAAAACTGTAAGAAGGCTTTTTGCATGGGCATAGCACATCATATAGGCAGTAGTGACCTGAAGACTGGCACGTTGACATATGACAGCAGACTATGCTGCTCTCCGGAGGGGCCTGCAGTTGAGAGAACGCGTTTTTGGGGAATGGCTTCCTTTCAGAAAGTTTTGAATTCTGTGTGTCATGGGAGCATGCAGCAGTGGGCCAGACTCCACTGAATCTGAAGTAAACTCTGCCAGAACCAAATGTCCTGGAGATGGATGTGAGGAGCTTCCGTATCAACAACTTCCAGCTGTTGATCTACGCTTTGGTTCACTAAGGGAATTGCTGATGTGGGTACAGCTGTTGTTGCTGCCTTCCAAATTTCTTCTCTTGGGCTGCAGCAGTCAATAATGTGCATATATATTCCTAGCATCCACTGGCTCACACCGTGGAAATTAGTAAGTTGGAGCTGCACCAGTATGGCGACATTTAGAGGCAACTGGGGCAACAGAGTTAAGGGTTATGATATTTGTGTAACACTCGAGCGTAAACATGGAGCCTGAAGCTGAAGGGAGCGGATTGTGTACAACATTAGGACCTGGTCTAAACTGAGTTACTAATTCCTGCAGTTGTAAATAGGTGCAAAGCATGTCACGGGTATTCACTTAAACATGGCACAAGTGAGCTAGAAGTGTATTTTGTGGCCAAATTAATATTTCATATGCCTTAAACAAGTAGCAGGGTGGAGTTTGGGTGTTTGGGGTTTTTTTTCAAATAAGAATGAGCTTCCTATAGCCATGATCAATTAGTATGTAAGTAAAGGAAAAAGCATTAAAATTACATACTTTAAAAAAAACTCTCACAGCTTTTTCTCTCTTTCATCTTCTTACATCTGTTCTCCCTTCCCTTCCTGTTTTTTCTCACATGCAAAGCCTGAAGAAACTGTTCTTGTTTATTCTCTATAGTGTTATATGAGATCAATGTTATCGGCTTTGTGGCTTTCTTAGTAATGAACATGGGTACCCTGAGACACAAACTCTGCTTGGAAGAGAAAATGCAGCATCTGCCATGGATTAATCTTGATGACCCATGTAGTCCATTCAGGCTGTTTTTCTCCTTGTTATCTGTTGCTTTCTCTTCTCAAAACAGGCAGAAGGAAAAGGTACTGAAGGGTGTAAGAATGCAACTGAAAAAATTACACCCTCTTTATCTCCTTCAGAAGTGGAGAAAACAAAGTTTTGGAATTCTATAAATATTCTTCATATGCCATGAGTTATTGATTCCTGCAGTGTATCTTTGTGTAGATTAGAAATGCAATCAGATCACAGTTTTGTTTTGTTTTTCATGTAGTGTCATATTCTTAACGTCTAACACTTAGATTGTGATAAGCAAACTGCATCCTTATTTTCACTTTTGGAAACTTGCAGTACATCAGCTTTAAGGCTCTTCTGGATTTAGTGCAATGGAGAGAACAGTTTGTCCAAAATGTGCTTTAATGTTTATGAATCTTCAAAATAAGCAGTTAAATTTTAATTTTACGGGTAGAAACTTGGTGGACAGTAAAAATAGTTAAGAACCGCATTTCTTGTGTACGTTGCATGTGTACATTATGTTTTAGAGGAGAGTTTTGTAATGTTGGAATAGAAAATGGTAACAAATGCATGTGTATATTAATTACATTGTTTGGTTTTTCAACAGGGTCTGTGTTTTAATGGAAGTGCCTTCATTTTGTACCTCATTGCTGCCATTGTAGATGCATCTTCAGTTACCAAAGAACTGGACAGTCACAATTACAACAGCTGGGCAGCTTCTTCAGTGAGTTCACTTTCTGTTTAAACCAATTTTATGTCCAATGAAGTTCACGCATTCTGGATTTTGAAACGCTGCAGATGTATATAGAAGCTCACACACAAAACCTATAGGTAGCTGTGATTTAGCTCATAGTTTTTGGAGGTGACTAGAAATTCCACCAGGAGATGACAGTCACATAGAAAAGGCTGTAATCTTTTTAAGATAATACTGCTTTTCCCCTCTCCTGCCCCCATTTATTACTAACTGTCTGGCAGAGGTTATAGCCTGCGCATCACAGTGGACAAAACAGATTGGGTGAGCAGCAAATCACCTCAATGCACTTGGAAAACTTCAAAAGCAGTTTAAACTAACAGCTAACTTTGCATGCATGTGGATAAGGTGCATTCAGCTTTTTGTGGGCTGAGGCATATACACAGCACCTTTGGGAAGGTCCTGAAGTGGCAGTATTGCTGTTTCTACTGTGATCTTCTGTTACAGCCTCAACTTTTGATAAACTTTCTTCTGAATTCGGTGGGCAATACCTGAAAAATCATGCAACGTACCAGTGTTTTAAAGTGGATGCAACTCATTAATTAGTCTGACATAACTGTCTTGCTACTTAGATTTGGAAGATCCAAAGCAGTGAGTCAATGTGGGTGAAAAACAACTTTTTTTTTTAAAGAGCCTTGTCATTTTCTGAGTAGGTGAACATATTGTCTAGCTGAGTTGAGGGAGTTGTAAGAGGACATTTTGCATGTTGTGGCAACAGTAGTCAAATTCAATTGTATAGAGTAATTCCAAATTACAGCTACTTTGCTGACTGTTCATGCTTCTGCAGTTGTCCTCTCTGGACTATTCACAAATCCTGTCTTCTGACTGAAGCTTATTTTATACGGCCATGAACACAGAGACTTGAACACCTGCTCTGTTTTTTGTCTTGGGAATTGGATAACTACGTGCCTGTCACTTCAGTGGTGTTCGGGGTCTTGTCCTCTTGGCAGTTCATAACTATTGATCTGTTACTCAGCCACTGCTGTTAACAGGAATTTGCATGCTGCTATATAAGCTTCCGTACTGGTTCAGGTTTTATGCAAAATACATGAATCCTCAGTGTCTCATGGGATGTTTGGAATCTCTTCTAATACCTCCTAATAGTGTTTATCTAATGCTCTGTCTAAATAAACTATTAAATGTAGATTCTTGTTTTCTGAACCCATTAAGGGTTTCACGGATGGATGTTTGTGAGAATTTAGCAAATCATCTATCCCCAACAGTCATTCTCTGTTAGAAAGATTTTACATAGAGCTTTTATTTCATAAGAAACAAAATTATTGGAAAAGAACAATGCTACAGTTTTCTACTGTAATAATATTTTACATCATCGTCTACAGTTTTTGGTGCACAGATTAAGTTTACATTAGACACGGCTCACCAAGAGCCCTCTGTTGGAGGCCTTGAAGTTACTGCCTGTATGCACGCTTAGTAGTGCCCTGCTCTCAGAGATGAAGTGCTTACCCGGGCCAACGGTGGTATATAAGCAAGAAACATTGGTAGAATCATAAAATGGTTTTAGGCTGGAAGGGACTTCTGGAGATCATCTAGTCCAGCTCTCTCCCTGCTTAAAGCAGGGCTAACTCATATCAAGCTATGAGGGCCTTGTCGACTTGAGTTTTGAGTGTTTCCAAGGGTGGCTGTTTCACAGTGCCTCTGGGCCTCTGCTGCCGTATTTGATTACTCTCATTGTGATATTTTTTTTTAACCCCTAATATCTGATTGAAATTTCCCTTCTTGTAACTTGCTTTTGTTCTCTCTGTCCTATCAGTGCTCACCTCCAAGAAAAGTAGTGTTAATCCTATTTGCAGTGTCAGCTTTATTTGGTTCAGTTACCAGCACAAAACATTCTGGTCATATCATGAGACTGTTTTGAACGTTGTCTATTTTGAACAGCATGCAGTGATTAACAGGAAGTTAACCACTGGCACTGAATTGGACTTTATCAGTACAACTGAAATAGTTCACAGCTGTTCTTTGGCTTCTGTGTGCCTGTGCTGCAAGGACTGCAGAAGCAGCACCACTGATACTGTGTCGTTTTAATCTTTTGAACATAAAATAAATCTAGCATGCTACAGAAGGCTTTCTCTGTAACCAGTTTCCGACAAAGTAGTAATATCTCAGCGTGGTTGCTGTCACTGTTATTTACACTGAGGAAAACCTTTATTCATCAGTAGAGGACCTCTGAATTCGGTAACCTACTGCTGTTTGAGAACGTGTCTGGGCCTGCGTTTGAATCCAAGTTTTCTCTGTAAATGAACCTGTTTTGATGCACAGCATGCCATAGTGAGGTACAGGTGGACTGTAGGCAATTCCTGGAACACAGCAGCAATGCTGGCGTGTTAGCTTGAGCTCACACTTCCCATGGACTATCTCTCAGCCTTTATCAGCAATTGGTGTTAGAAGCAGCAAGTATGGGATTGGTGGGAGTCCAGTCTCCAAGATCCTTACTGAGGCAGTGTAATGGGGAAATATGAGTTGAAATATGCCGTGGTTTGTCTGCTTCTAGGCCCATATTTCTACACATAATACAAGCTTACTTACACAGTGTTGACAGGGATGGCCACACAAGTACAAGGAGATGAAAGAATGCCATTTTTGTCAGCCTGCTGTTTCTCCCATTTCTAAACCCAGTAACTATTTTTTTTTTTGTAAAAATGACAGTGCTCTCAAATATTTTTTTTTCCTAATATGGTTTTTTTTCTCTCCTCTCTCTACAGTTCTTTGCCTTCGTGGTTACCTCCTGCTATGCTGGAAATACATATTTTAGCTTTATATCTTGGCGATCACAAACTTTGCAGTAAATATTTTGTTAAAATTAATTCTGTAGTATAAAATACCTTGAGGATTATACTCTGACAAAAGCTAGGAAGAGGGATGAGGTATTTTTTAACACTTCTGTTAGAATTGACACAATATATCTTAAGATGAGATTAAAATTATTATTTATAATGCAATATCATCTGTAGAGACATCTAACACCAACTTTGTACTGTATAATAAAATTTCATACTGCTTCTTTAAAATTAACTTTTTTCTAGACGTTGTATAGATGTTGTTACTAAACTTTTAATAAATCTTACTCGGATGATGTGCCAATTTTGTAAATGTAAGTTTAAATGTTACAAGTGTACTTTTGATACTGAATGCTACAAATGAAAAGTAAGATTGATACTGTCTCATTACTATGTATAAAAAGTGACATTGTGGGGGGAAAAAAAAAACGACAAAAAAAACAAACACACCCAAAACTTTATAAATAAATAAATAAATGACCCAACTGTGCATGTTTTATAAACTGGGAGTAGAAGGTTGCTTTTTAAAATCTTTTTCAGAGTTTCAGATGATCCTGTCAGTTTGCATATTCTAACAGCTTGTCACAATCATGAGATTGCTTTTGGAACCTGTTACTGTAGGTTGGAAGCTCACAGAAGGAATGTTGCACCCGACACGTTATCTTAACAGGTCTCTCAAATCCAGCAGGCTCCAAGGCATAAGTCTAGACAACAGTCCCTTAGTGCTCAGTGTTTAGCCTACTGAGAATATCACAAAACACACCTAAGGTAATACGTTTTGTTTCTCAGGGGACTGGTTTTGTCTTTTCTTCTTCGATTAGGCTATTAATCTGTCCTAATTAAAATCTAGGCTTCTAAATCCTATTAAATTATAGAAAGATTAAATCCATAGAGGAATTATCAAGATGCCAGTGCTAGAAACAGTTTCTTCCCTCCTTTCCTGTCTGCTGGCATCATCTATGAGTTGTTAGTTTAACAAATGAAGTTTTTTATTTGACACTCATTTAAATGTTTTCGAGTCAAGCAGAAGTATGACACATTATGACTTTCAAAACAGATAAGTTTGAAAATGACTTTCAAGTACAACTTACCTAAGGAATTTTTTCCAGGAATTATGTGGAGAATGTAAGGTCGTGATTATTTTGTGATATTAACGTTTTCCTCATTTAAAACTACTGGTAAATCTTCTTTTCCTGGATTAAGAAGAATTGGACTCTTCCAGTCTTCTAAAACTTAGGTGGGCGATTACATATGGTAGTAGAGAAGTCTTACTGCTCCAAAAACTTCTTTATTTCTCCCTATAACTAAATGTTGTGTACTTACTTAACGTGCGTGCCCTGCAGCAAAGAAGATTTATCAGCAGCCAGCTAATTCTGTTCTTGATCACATTGGTTTGTTGTTAATTATCTGTTGGAGTCACAGGATGTCAGTGTAAGGGAAGGCAAGATGAAATTTGCAGACAAATATAGGTTTTTGAATTACATCTGGCCTGTACAACAAAGGTCAGGCTGTCTGCTGCTTGCTAAAATTATCCAGTTGTGAGAAGGAAGAAGGGCTACCAACTATGCATTTTATCTACACAGATAAAATGGGTCATTAAAATGCCGTATGCTCTTCCATTGCTGGAAAAAAATCAAAGGCATAAAAGTGATCCAAATGTCAACTGATAAAATGTATAAGTGTAGCCAGAATTAAAATCTCATCACTAAAAATGCTTTTGCAGTAATAGAAATTCTTTCTTAAATGATATTTGATGTACCTATCTTAAGTCCAAAGAACGTGACTATGTTTGCACAAATGTTTCATTATTTTTGTGGTAACTGTGATGGTCTGATCTAAAGTTGTAATCCAGACGTTTGTGGATAAAGGAAGTAAAGCTAAGAGAGAGTAATGTGTCTCATCCAGTTCACCAAAAACCGTCATGGAAACTGTGTGTTACGTGTCAGAATAAACCCATTACTGAAGGACAAAACCATGCTATTACCAGATAAGGAATGATTATGGCAAAGTATCTACTACCTCTCTGAGTCTTCAGTGCTGATCCTCAAGGGAAGATGTGTAGAATGTCTTCCAAAGGCAAATCTGTGAGTTGAATCCTTAATTCTTAATTTTAAGCAAATTTCTGCCTAGTACATATTTTTTTTATGCTTGGCCTTGCTTTTTCTTCCCAAACCGTAACTTATCTGCCTTGCTCTTTCCTTTTAGAAAGATAATTATTTTACTTCTCATGCTCGCTCTTATCTGTCTGATTTCTCCCAGGGTACCAACTGTCTATTCTTCAAGTGTTCTGTATAGCTAGTTAAAATGGGAGGAATCAGTACAAGCTGAGAATTACTTATGAAGTTTGCTCCTCCTATGTCAGGCCTGAAGGAAAGGCATAAGCACCCAAAAGGTTATCTGTTTCTTCCAGTGCATTAGTCTTAAATACCAATTTGCAAACTGACTTATATTCTTTTGTATATACTAATATTGATAAAGAAGATAAGCTAACTGTGGTTTATCATGTAACAATTAAAACAAGATTTGTCGCTGCAGGCATTGCTTAGTGTGCATAAGATTGAAAGAAATGTTATTTAAAAGAACAACTGGTAAGTGATGAAGTCATTAGTGAAATTCTTAATACAGATCTTTAGAAGAATAAACAAAATGCTAATCAACTTGCAAAATGACGGTACTTGACGACATAGATTTTTTCCGAGAGACTGTTTGTCTGAAACAAGTCACCCACATACATAAAGGGTACTTGATGTCAACTTATGGCCATCAAATTTCATTTATTAAGGAGTTGTCAGTACCTCTTATCGTCATCATACATGATGCACTTAACAAGATGCAGGTAAATATCATGAGAACTGTAACAACACCTTCAAATTCAGCGGTGTTTTAGACTGAGTGTGTGCCAGGGCTTTATGGAAGATGCCTGTATTTCTGAATAGAAAATATGACTGTTACTCTAATTGTATTAATTTGAAGGGATTTCTGTTTCACTGGGCTGAACTCGGATCAGCAGGGCCCCAGTCATATACATACTTTCAAAAGAAATTAAGAACTAAAGAAGCTGAATCAGCAGGTAAGAAAAATATTTATTAATAGGAAGTACAGAAGTTACTAGAACCTTCTTCCACAGGGCTTACAAGAAACCCATGAATGTGCATGCTTCTGAACTTGAACTGTAAGGAGAAGAGGGGGGGAAAAACCAATCTGTTTACAAACAAACAACACAAGCAGCTCTTTCTCAGCAGGTAGCATTTTACTCTTGTATAGACTGGCAATGTTGCAGCTTTGATATCTAATGACATGAGAGAAAATTTGTAGGGACGGGTAATACCTCTTGCTGCAACTATTAGCTGGCTTAATAGAAGCCCAAAACTACGTACTGCTTGGTATTACAGATCGTTGCCCACACTGGCAAACCCTGCCTTGCTCATGTAAATTACTTATGCCAAGCCCCTTATTTGTGTTGGAGATCATCTGAACTTACCTGTCTTCCCTCCTAAGACAATTTTTGTTGCTGAAGGAGCTATTAAATGCTAAATAGGAACAGAACAGCAGAAGATGGCATTGCTGCTCTCATAAGAGCTCAGAGGCCTGCTATTACCTCACTTGTCAGAAATCAAAACAAGTTATTTTTAAATTTAAGGAAATACATAGCTTCCTTTGCTGAGTTTTGCTAGTATCTCTGCATAATTTAATTCAGACAAGGGGGTCGGGACATTTAGACAGTCATTACGCTTTCACCTAACGCTGCCCATTTAATGCAAATGTTTTATCTTTTACGAGATCATGAATCAGAAGGTTTGGGGTTTTTTTTGGCGATGATAAATGTCCTGTAGGAAGACGCTGTTTGCAGTTGTACCTCTTCTGCGAAGCACCAGAGCGGCTCCCCTCCAAGAACACCTTTTGACAGGCCGGGCATCTTTTATTGTTCGAGTAAAGCTG